AGCCAAGACCCTGGGTTCTAGTTTGGGTTGTATCAATCAATATGTGTGGCCTTGAATAATCCTTTTCTACACAGAGGCCTGAATTTATTAAATAGAGGATTGTATCATGGCCTATTGATGGCACAGTGCTCTGGAGTGAAAACAAGACTTGCAAGGACAGGAGGGGTTGGGTGGTAATGGAATGACCTCAAACAAGGAGTTATCTCATTAAGGATAACTGGTAAGAAAAAGTGCTGGGTGTGGTGGTACAAGCCTATAATCTCAGCACTCAGGGAGCTGAGGCCGTAGAATTGCGAGCTGTAAACTAGCCTGGGCTACATAGTGAAACCCTGCCTTACTATCACAACCTCTCCCTACTCTAATAGTACCCCAAACTAAAACAGGCAAAAAGATGACTGGGTGATGTTTATATTTTTTACATTTATTTATGTTTTTGTGTGTGCGTGCATGGTGTACATGTGGAAGTTAGAGGACAACTTGGAGTGGGGTGTTCTAGTCCTCCTTTCCACCATGTGGGTCCAGGGGATAGAACCCAGGTCATCAGGTTTGGTAGCCAGTGTCTTTACCAGCTGAGCCATCTCATTGACCCTAGTGACATTTCGATGTCCAGGCCACATGCATTTTCCAACAAGGTCACCTGGGAGTCATCTTTAGGGAATGAAATTGCCCAACTCTCTTACAAAAACAGTTGACACAGTGTTGACACACTATTGGAGAGGTTTTGTTTTTGTTTTAAGACAGTCTCACTATGGAGCCCTGGTTAGTCTAGAACTCTCTATGTGGCCGGGTGTGATGGCACATGCCTTTAATCCCAGCACTTGGGAGGTAGAGGCAGGCAGATGTCTATGAGTTGGAGGCAGACCTGGTCTACATAGGGAGTTGGAAGTTGCTATGAGGCTGGGGCTACAGGGAGATTCTGTCTCAAAAAAAAAACCCCCTGTGTAAACCAGGCTAGTATCTAACTCACAAAGATCTACTTGCTCTCCCTCCAGAGTACTGAGGCCACCACACCAAGCCTAGTTATTTTAGTTTTTTAGAGACAATGTCTCTCACAGATTAATTTCCTTACACCACCTGGACAGTGAGACATGAGGACCCTTCCAAGTCTGCTTTCCCAGCCCCAGGAGTACAGACCACCCACTGTCACATTCACTTTTTTCATAGCTGTGGAAAATCCAAACTCAAGTCCTCACGATTGCCTGGAATGCACTTACCCTCTGAGTCATCCCCTCAGTCCTTTGGAATTAAAATTCACCCTTTAGTTGGTGGTACACACCTGTAATCTTACAACTTGAGAGGCTGAGACAGGATTGCAGTGGATACAGGACCACTTTGCCATAGCCCCTTGGGGTGACTGAGCTCACACAGGTGAACTGCATAGAAGCCAGCCTCGGGGGCTGCCCACCTCGGTTGGATGTCGTTCAGCCCCTTTACAGTGATCAACTGAGCTCTGTGACTTGTATAAAAATGAGGAGGGGGGGGTGACACAATTGTCACGCCCTGGGGGGGTACAACTGTCACTAGGATAACTAAGCTGCAAAGCAATGCTGGGGTCTCCACAACGTCCCTGGCATAAGTTTGCAAACAACACTAATAGTAAAGTAACAATAGCAATTCTGGTGATGGGGGAGGTGGAGACAGGGGCTCAAGTATTCAAGGCTGGCCTCGAACTTGCTTGGGGGAGGAGGCTGACCCTGACCCCGGGATGGGATTGCAGGGAATGGCAGGACTCCCGGGAATGGCAGGACTCCACTGGGCGAGTCCCCTTCGGCTTGGGTCCGCGGGCTGAGGAGAGCGGAGTGGTCGGTTGGCTACGGCCTGAGGTTCGCAGTCGCACGCAGCTCCGCCCTGGGAGCCGCGGCTGCTGTTTACCTCGCAGGTCCCGCCCCCTGCGCCCGAGGCGCGACGCCATTGGCCGAGCGGCCTGCCGCTCTCCGGGGACTTTCCCAGGGGCGGGGCGGCCCGCGGTACTTCCTGGTCCCCCCGCCCGGGCCGAGGGCAGCGCGCAGCCGAGTCGGCCGTGCCCGGGAGCCGCATCCTCAGGTGAGCGGGCCGCGGGGACACGAGGCGGAAGAAGGCCGGGGCCGCGGGCCGCAGAGCGAGCGGGCGCGGGGCGGGAGGCCGGAGAGGGGGGCCGGGCCCCGGGGGCGCCGCGAGGTCGCCGGGCGTCTGGGACTCCGGGCATGCAGGGTGCGCATGCGTACGCGCCGGAGCCCGGCCTGCGGACCCCGGGTGTTAAGTTTTGGAAGCAAGAGAGCGCATGTCATAATGACGAAACTCATAACAATAACAAAGCTTTTCGGTGGATTTCCAAATGTTTGGGTTTGTTTATTTGTTTGAGGCAGGGTCTCAGCATGTAGCCCTGGCTGGCCTGAACTTGTTCTGTAGACCAGGCTAGCCTTGAACTCCTAGCGATCTGCCTGCCTCTGTCTCCCGTGGTGCTAGGATTATAGGCGTGTCACCACCACGCAGGCTTCCAAGTGTTCATCTGAGGGCTTTGTGAGTAAACTCATTAAGTCGTGACATCCCACCTAAATGCGAATGTGTGTTACTTATTAAAAATCAGTTATTTAGTTACTGCGTGAGTGTGTGTGTGTGTGTGTGTGTGTGTGTGTGTGTGTGTGTGTGTCTGTTGAGGTCAGAGGACAACTTTTAGGAGTTGGTTTTCTCCTTCCATACTTTGGGTTCCGGGGATCTCACCAGCCCCCCCCCCCCAGGAATGTTACTTTTTAATCCCTATCTCACCAGTGAGAAAACCCAGGCAGCCTGCTGGTTAGGTTCAGGCGGCTAATGAACTGCAAGTCAGGATATGAACCCAGGCATCTGGCCCCAGAGGCCACCTTCCTACTCACTGAACTCATTTTGCACCCGGTGATATGTATTTGCGTGTACTGGTGCAGACCAGATGAAACGAGTTTCTGGAAGTGGTTTAAGGGGCTGCAGTGTTATACTTCTGGCTGAGACCTTTGTGTGCCTGAGTGTGAGATCAAGTGTGTGGAAGTTGTCGCCCCTGTACTCATTCATTGATAGTCCCGCAGTGGGTGGGAATTCGGTGCTGCAGGGAGGGGAAGTGTTTTGGTAAGGGAAGGGAGGGACTTTCATGGATGATGCAAAGGACTGGGCAGTGGCGTCTCCACCCCCTTGCTGAATGACAGTGCAGGGAAGTGTGTGGATTCCTGTGCATCATTTTTATTTCACAGTCGAGTCAAAGTGGGATTTGATCAGCCCTGACTCATTCTCCAGACAATGGGCGGGGGTAGGGGAATTCACTATCCAGAGCAGAGAGTAAGGGTACTTGAATTGTTTTGATGGGTGATGGAGGGCATTGTGTTAGGAGAGTGGAGTACTTACACTAAGCATTATCAGGATCTTATATGCCGAGCAAATAGGCTGTGAAAAAAATATTACTAATAATATTACTAATAACTTCACATTTATGATATATTAGACTTGTGTTCACATTTATTTATTTATTTATTTATTTATTTATTTATTTATTTATTTAGAGTCTTATGTTTGTGGGTGTTTTTATACATGTACGTAAGTGCCTCCATTTTTGTATAATGCCTTCCCCAAACCAGAAAACAACATAAGATCCCTTAGAACTAGAGTTACAAATTTTACCTGCCATGTGGGTATTGGGAACCAAACTCCAGTCTTCGACAAAAACTGTGTAGTCCTGGCTGGCCTGGAGCTATATATAGACCAGGATAGCTTCAAACTCACCGAGATATGCCTGCCTCTGCTGGGATTAAAGTCATGTGCCACCACACCAGGCAGGGCCCCATTTATTTCCTGGGAAAGTAATAATTAGGAGCTAGCCCTTATGGAAGCGTTTGATCTTGCCCTCCTGGGAGCAGCTGGTGGACCTGTCCCATGTTCTGAGTACCTACATGGCCATGCTGTCCCCCACCTATGGGTGCCCTGTGGGTGTGTGTATGGTGTACTAAGGGTGGGTGCCTGTCTGTAGATGCCTACACCAGGTCCCTCGGGGCCCCAGGAAGCCCTGGGTCTGACTCATCGCCTCACCTTTCAGTGGACCCGGATGTCCTGGCTGGATCAGGCCAACCTGGTGTGAGCATGGTGGTGCCCAGGGAGATTGTTTGTCTGTCTCCCTCCACTGCTTAGTTGGCCTCTCCTGTGCTGTGATTGAGCAGGCCACAACAGCCTGCGCTTTGCTTGCAGTATGCACGCCTGTTCTCACTGAGTCCTTCATACTTGCCATTCCCCCTGCCCAGAACACCATTCCCAGCCCTTTCTGGGGCTGCTCTTCTCCTTATCTGTCAAGTCTCAGCTCAAATGTCACCTCCTCCGAGGGGCCTTCCCTGACTTTTCTATGCAAAGTAGCCCCCCTTTCACATTCTGTCATGTTAGTTTATTTTTTCACTTATGCTCTGAATAAGCTTGTGAACGAGAAGGTATACCGCCGCAGAGCTTCATGACTAACCGATGGTTATTTATTTATTGTCTCTTTTTCTTGAGACTGGGTCTCATGTAACCCAAGCTAACCTCAAATTCACTAGGCAGCCGAGGATGACCCTGAACTTCTGATCCTCTTGCCTCCACCTCTCAAGTGCTGGGATTACAGCGTGTGCCACCACACTGCCCTGTTTATGTGCTGAGGATGGAACCCCAACTTTATGCCTCTTCAACAAGTTCTCCAAATATATTTTTTTGATTTATTTATTTTTATTTTATGTGTATGAGGGTATGGCCTGCATGTGTGTAAGTGCACCCCTGTCGTGCATTGCACTCAGAGGACAGAAGAGGGTGTTGGATCCCCCAGAACTGGAGTTACAGATGGTTGTTAGCTACCATGTGAGTGCTGGGATTCAAACCCTGGTCTTCTGCAAGAAGAGCCAGTGCTCTTAACCACTGAGCCATCTCTCCAGCCCCTCGACAAGGACTCTTTAACAAAGCTACATTGCTGGTCCCTGTGTTTTTCTAGACTGTAAGGCTAATGTCCCCTATCTAGCCCTCAGGTCCCTGTCTACCTGTGTAGGGAGGGTCCCTGACCCTCAGGATGACTGCCCTGTTCCAGCTTCTCAGGCACTGCAGCTAGTTAGTTTTCCATGTCTGTCCTGTGACCGGCACTGGACAGTCAACCCAGTGACTGGGTGGTTGCTGAGGAGTGGACAGGGCTGAACTTGTCCCCAGGCTGTTCTGAGCCCTGTGTCCTGGGGCACCTTCCTTTGAGGTGGATGAGGGTAGACAGGCCGAGGCCTAGACAGGTGTGTGGGGGTGGGGATATAGGAGTCTGGTGAGGCTAGAGTTGGCATTTATAAGGAGGGGTACCCATGACTCAGTGGCTTGGTCCCCACCCACTCTTCACGGTGCCTGCCCTGCCTGAGGCCCCTCAGCTTTGACCTTCATCCAGCTAGCCTCAGTTTCTCAGGCACCAGCTGCTGTGTTTTTGAGAAAAGCTCTCTTACTGGCCTCGGATTCGCCGGTTAGGCTTGGCTGGTTGGCCAGTCAGCCCTGGGGAATTCACTCTGTAACCCAGGCTGGACTTGAACTCATATTGAGATTGAAGGTGTGATCCACCAACACTTAGCTTTCAAAATGTGTGCGCCGGAGCTCGAACTCAGGTCCTCATTCTTCTGCAGCAAGCACTTTACCAATTGGGTCACCTCCCCCGTTTTCTCTTTTTTTATTTCTCCATTGCTTTATTAGAAATGTGCAACTCTGAGAGGTCTGTAGCGTTGTTATGTTGTGAAATGTGTGCCATCCCATCCCACTTGTCTGGTTCTTCCACAGCTTGCATAGTATATGTGAGACTCACCCAGGTTTGTTTATTTTCATCCATTTTCACTGCTATAGTATATTCCCCAAAGCATTGACACAACGCTTCTCCGTCCTGTGGGTAGTATCCAGCCTTTGTTGTTGAGATGGGCACTGGGCTTTTAACTGAGGGTCTCTTGGTCTAGCCTTTCCTCCCTAGCTCTTTCATAGCCACTGTGACACCTGCCTATCACATGAGAGTTAATAGACAGCTCTGTGGTTTCCATAGGGAGAAACAAGGACAGAGGGCCTCGAAGGGAGGAGCAGAGCCAGGCTTAATTTGAAGCCCTTTCCCCACCATATTTGGTATAAGGAGAATTCTCAAACATTGGCTTCTTCCTTTCTAGAGGGGAGTTACAGAGTTGCATAAGCCAGCAGTGGCATTTGGGCACCAAGAAACCAAGTGCTTGGGATACTGTCCCTGGCTTCCTGAGGTTGGCCCTTCACCTGATGGTCGAGGCCACCCTGGGTCAGTGAGGCCGTCCTACCTGCTAGGATGAGAGCTGGGCATGGGTAGGGTCTTGGCTCGGGGGGAATGTGGGTATGAAGGACAGTGGGCGGGTGACTAGGCTGCCAGGTCCAGTCTTCGAGGGCTGTTGGTGACAGGGGCACAGGGTGGGATTGTGATGTGATGCTGAGATTTGGGCTCCACTTTGTTCCTTGAGGACTAGTTTTGGGTCAGGCCTTGTTGTCTTGGACTTGGTTCCCTGGCAGCAGAGCAGGGGTGGTGCTGGGCATGGGCATGAGAGCCCCCCCCATGCCTGCGCTCGCTGCCAGTCCAGGATGCTTGCTTGCAGTTTCTCTGTCCTCTGTGGTCCTCATGGCCAGCCCCACCTTCGTGAAGCCAGATCCTTGATGGAGTTTCCAGAGAGCGGCCCCTTCCAAACACGGAATCCCTAAACTGGAAAACTTGTCCTTTCCCTTCCCTGTGTGCAACTTAAAGTCGACCTCTGAGGCCTTGTGTGTGCGGGTTGGAAAGAGGACCTGGCGCTGGGGGTCCTGTCCTCCCCTGATGGGCCGTGTCCTCCGTAGACCCTGTCTTCCAACCTCAGTGAGTGTTGGACAGTGGGGCTTCCCTGCTGCTCTGACCTCCACAGGCCACTTAAATGCTCTTTATAGTTTTGTGTGGGAAATCGTCTTTTACTCCTGCTCAGGCTCCAAAACAAACAACAAAAATTCAAAGTTCCCCCCTGAAACTGGAGTTACAGGCTGTGAGCCACCAAACCATGGTCCTCTGAGAGCAGCTGGTGCTCTTTACTGCC